CAGGGAGTGGATCTGGAGGGCAGGAACAGGCTGGGGGTCAGGGCTGGGGCTGCAGGACCTACTCATGGCCACAATCTATCAGGTTGGCAAAGGCCTCTGAGATCTGCTGAGCCTTTGAGTAGCAAAGGGCACAGGGACCTGTGGCACAGCTGAGTGAGGGACACAGAATCTCACACACAGAGTCATTAAGGTTGGAAAAGACCTCTGAGATCATCGAGTCCAACCCGTGACCTAATACCACCCTGTCAACCAGACCACAGCACTAAGTGCCACGTCCAGTCTGTCCTTAAACCTCTCCGGGGATGGTGACTCCACCACCTCCCCGGTCAGCACATTCCAAGGACTAATCACCCTTTCTGCAAAGAAATTCTTCCTAATGGCTAACTTAAACCTCCCCTAGCACAGTTTGAGACTATGCCCTCTCATCCTGCCACTCGTTGCCTGGGAGAAGAGTCTAACCCCCACCTGGCTACAAGCTCCTTTCAGAGTTGTAGACAGCAATAAGGTCCCCCCTGAACCTCCTCCAGGCTAAACACCCCTAGCTCCTGTGACAACCCAAACCTGCCCTCCTCCCCCCAGAGTTGGGGCTCTGGCCCTGAGCTTCGATCCAAACACACCTTTTTCAGCATGATGATGCCCAACACAGCCACAGCGGTGAAGGACAAGGACACCAGGATCATCATCACGGCCACGGCCGTGTTCTGGCGCAGAGCTATCAGGCTCAGGATCCAACCACTGCAAAACAACAGGCTGTTGTCCCCAGCTTCCCAATTCCCCACCCTCCTCCTGCCTTTCCAGGGTCCTCAACCAGCCCAGGGAGGGCCCACGGCGCACCTGAATCCCCAGTTTGGGATGCCAATGGCCTGCAGCACATACATCACATTCTGGGCAAAGAAGACGAAGAAGAAGACAAAGAAGTTGAAGGAACTGTCGCTCCTGGGAGGACAAGACAAGGTGAGGTTAAGCCACAGGGAAGAGCTCTCAAACCTCGCTTAAAGAGAGGGGAACAGGTGGCCCAGTGTGGAACCACAGAGCCAGAGGCCCCAGGGAGCTGGGACACTGTCAGCACTGCCCCTGGCACTGCCCAGCTGAGCTGCCTGGCACCCGGGGAGCTGGAGCAGGTGTACACAGCTGAAACACATACCTGAAAGCTTTGTACATGGGCCGATACCAGCAGACAAAGGAGCAGGGAGTGTAGAGCAGAGCCCAGAGGATGGAGAGGCCAAACCCAGAGCCAGATGAGGGATCCACACAGAACCAGGCCAGCGAGGACAAGAAGTTCAGGAAGAGAGTAATGGTGCTAGCTGAGAGAGAGAGAACATAGTCAGGAACCTGAGCTGTTGTTGTTGCCTGGAAAAAGAGGCCAACCCCCACCTGGCTACAACCTCCTGTCAGGGAGTTGTAAACAGCAGTGAGCCTCCTCTTCCCGACCTGGCACCACCAGTTCATCCCAATTTCCCTGAGCTGCAGCACAGGATGCTCATTCCTCTGCCACGGCCCAGGGTCTGCCCTGGGATTCCCCCAGAGACTCACCCATCCAGAGGTAATACATGGTGGTAACTGTCTTCTGGAAGTCAGCAGGGATCTCCACGGGGATGTCCTGGTAGAAGCAAGGCTTGACCGGGCAGAAGGAGGGCAGTGGGGGCCAGTTGTTGAGCCTCGCTGCAGAGGGAGGAGGGTGAGAGGAGGGAAGAGGGTGAGGAGGAGGGAAGAGGGTGAGGAGGAGCGAGGGAGGGTCGGGGCGGAGTGACTG